GATCAGTGTCCCCTGGATTTTTCTCTTACCTCCTCTGACCTCTGCAGCTTGGAGAAGGAAAGTCAAAGTGATGAGAATTAGGGAGCTAAGAGAGGAATCCCACAACCTCCTTTTCGTTTTCCACCTTGTGTTCCACCTCTCCATCTCCAACAAAAAAAAAACTGGGATCACCCCCAGCTGATAAGGAATCTGAGGATTTCAATCTACTGCTCCAACTCCTTCCAAAAGTCCAGGAGGTGATCACTGCACAGCCATAAGGAGGAAGAAACCCAAAAGTCTGACAGGGGGAGGGGGGCTTGGGGTGTCCTTTCTTCTCCTTTGCCCAGCTGAGATGTGTTCCTCCCCAGTCCCCTGCCTGCAGACTGAAGAAAGTTTGAGGGCTTTAATCAAAATGCAAAGCTCTCTCTCTCCTCCTAAAGTCCCACCGTCAGAGGGCTGGGCTAAGACCCCACTGTTAGGTCTCCAGGCTCTCTCCAGCCTTCCCCTGCCAGCAAATAGTGTGCAGATTCCAAAACTCCCAAACCCTGCCCAAAAGACAAGAGTCTCCAGGTTGGTCCAGCCCATAGCCCACCCTCCCGTATTACAGGGCTCAGGCTGGAGATGTTCAGCGGTGTGAGAACAGGAGGAGAGGGTGACAGCTCCAGGCTGCTGGTCTTCTTGTGTCAGATCCCGGGCTCAACCTTTCTCTATGCTCCTGCATTCAGTATTAAGTGGATAAAACGATATCAAGTCTTACCTGTGCTAGATACTTATGAATGATGCACACACTTCCAAATGTGCAAGCTTTGCTGTTACAGACTGCCCTTCATCTGTACTCGTTCACATTATCCCTTTACAAGTGTCCACTGATGACAATCCACTTTATGTACAAACATGCTCTGTATAAATCACATCTACTATGAGTTATGTATAAACATAGAATTAGTTATTTGTAAACTTTGACATGATATTGTTACAGAAAAGCACTGTGGCAAATTGACATGCACATACAGCAAGTCTACATAGAACTACATGCATAGGTGTGCGCAACCTATTGCATTAGACTGTGCACAGAAAAGGATGAGCACACACCCGTATATATATAT